GACATATTCATAGAACAAAACAGCAAAAAACGCCCCAATGTCAGACAGAAAATTGGTTATGCAACCTAATGAAAGGTTAGGCATCTTTGGAGCTTTCTCCATATTCTCCATAGCATAGACGAACCGGGAAAGTAATTCAGGCTGAGAATTTTTACTCAGACCCAGGCCACCCAGGCCAGAGACCCCAGTGAAAGGGCCTTACACTGTATCTAAAAGAGGTTGTCATTTATTTTCTTGATCTCTTTTTTGCTGTAAGCTGTAGAGTCCAGCATTACTATTGACTATCAAAGGAACAGCAATGGGTCATTTCAATCGAGAGGTTTCCTCTGTTGGATCTGAGTTGGGTGAGACTGTGTTGGTAGAAGCTGATGTAAACATTATAATGTTATCCCCACCAATCAGAAGGATGAATTTTTCACTAGCCCTTGTATCCCTGTGTGAGAATAAGTAACTAATACCTAAGTAGCTAACATTTTGAGCATCCACAATTCATTATTTTGAAATTTAATTTTCTCTTCCTTTTATTCTTCATTTCAGGTTATTGCCTTTCTTGTGTCGTGCCTGCTGTTGGACATAGCTTGAATGATTTGTTGTCTGTGACAGCCACCTAGCCACAGCGCTATAATTTAGTAAACATAATGTTTTGGCCAAATTCCTACTTGTGTTAGGCGCTAATATTGGCTCAATATAAGTTCAATGTAAACTTACCTCTACTATCCAATGCATCAAGCGTGACTTCTGCCAGAAAAAAAAAGATTCTGTCATTGGCTTATTTACTTTGCTGTCTTCATGCCAGGAGCAATCACTGTGCACTCTAAATCACCCACACAGTCCAGACCAGGCCGAGCAGTTGAGCGTTACTAGTTTTTAACTTTATTTGAATCATGTTTAACTTTAGGTAAATAATCATCAAGTCATATATCTTTAGTATCACTATGATACTGTGTAATATTTAATATTTAACACATTTATTTAATACCGTTCTTTTAGTCTGACAAGGGGGAGGCAAAAAAGCCAGGCTGGCATTCATGACTAGCACATCTGTTTACACTGACTTGACAAATTTACTGGCCAATATGTCAGTTACTTTTGACCATTCTGATGCCTTGCTCCTCATCTGCACCTTTCCTCTTCTTTTGTCTCACAGATGAAACCAACTTATCCATGATGACTGGCTAAGTGTATGCTAGCTGATTGCATCACAGATACGCATACATAGATGTCACATTGAGGTCAGCCAGGCATGTCAACAGTGCCTTTTTGGTGCTGGGCTTCATTCAGTACAATTATTCCAGTTTAAGAAAGACACTATCACAAGTTACACTATTTGAATTACAAAGCACTCAGGAGGTTGGATAGGATTATAAAGTGGGGGATGTAGCAATGCATGTGCGATGTTTATGTGTAGATGTGGTGACATGCAGAATTTGTTGGTGTAATTGTTTTTCCCCTGGCTTTGTGTCAGGCTTATTCAATTTTATTACCTTTAGAGGGTGCCTTAACTTGATATGAACTGCAGTTTTATATGCTGTACATTTGTATGCTGTACATTTGTATGTGCATGACGAAGAAATTCACACATTGGGTTTGTCTTTAATGGCAGGTGCAGACCAACTGAGTTTTCTGTGGCTGCTCCAGACAGCTAGCCAAACATCACACTCTCATTTATGAAACAGAAATAAAAGCAACCGACAGAATGTATTGTAATGTGTTCTGCATTATAATGTGTTCTGTAAATGTATTTTTAGCACTCCAAAACATATGTGCAAGCAGACAGTGAAAATATAGAAATCTGCTCGGTACTCTGTAGTCATTTCTACAGACACAGATTAAACTCTACCATTGGAAAATGTTTAAGTCTAGGTTGTAACCATGTTGACGTATTAGATTTGCTGTCTGTTTGCTAGAAAGATATCACCAGTAAGCATTTACATAAATGAAAATATTCCTTCAATCAGACATTTCTTATGGCTGTTACCAGCCTCTTTATTTAAATTTTTACAGTTTGTTTATAGTCAACTGTCGATAACTGGTGTGTTTTACAAACATGGTGACATGTAAATTAGACACTTAAATGATCAGCAGCATGCAGAAATGTCTGTTAATTATAACAAAAAGTAGTTAAGTAGTAAGGTTATGGTTATGGTTGATTTAATGAAGAGAACTCATCATATCTCAATACACGTGTATTTGTTTACAAGAGGGTTTTGACCGTCCTAACATGGCACACATGCAGACAAATTGCCTCAGATTGAGAACAACAGACAACGTGACATCTATGTATTGGTATATCTATGATTTTCAGGCCTGACATGCAGGAAACCCATCTGATATTTGTTCGGCAAACGAGCCTGGAGAAATTGAAAATTTTGTTAGAGAGCACATTAATTGTGGTGAAGTGATTTTTTGGACACAATATTTTGCAAACTGCATTTGGTTAATGTGCTTGGCAAATCCATCAGGCAGCCACATACAAGCAGGCAACTTAAGTAAAATTTTGTAGCCCGAAATAAAGTTTTGTAGCTTGCATTACTGAATGTTTTTGAACAATAACAGGCTACTGTTGTTTACACGCAAATTCACTTCCATTTTAGTCATTCACATTTAGATCCATACTTCATTTCTGTTGAGGCTCTTCTATTTATACAGAATTTGGGGACAGTAGCCTAAACACATACTCAAGTAACAGTGTTGTTACTTTGGTGAATTAAAGACTCAAGTAAAAGTATCTTACCAAAAAGCAACTTGAGTAGAGGAATAAAAGGAACAGCAAAACTACTGAATACTGACTAACTTGCAGAACTGTGGTGGATATTTAAATACATCCAGCATTCAGTTTATTAGTGCTTTTTCCTATTTTTTGGATCCTTTTGGTCTAAAATAAGGCACTAAAGCTGGAATTGCTGAGAATAACAGGAAAGCATTTCATTATGAAATTAAATTAGAAACTAAATATTAATGACTGAAATGAAACTGAGTAAAAAGTGTACGCCTTTTCTCATCAAAATGCTAGAGTGAAAGTAAAGTAAAAAGTATTGTCTTTTGGAAAAAAGAGCCAATGCCCTCTTAGTTGAAATATTGCACCCCCTTAGCCTTGTATTCCTATTTTGTTCAGAAAGGTCCACTCTTCAAACTATAGCCATATATTCATTATGGGTATTTGTTAGCTGAGTGCAATGTGTATACCTTTCAATCAAAGATGCCTGATATGAGCCACCATTTGCTTTAAATTTTTTATATGTCCTGAGTAAGCTGGGAGCAATGTGTATAGTGTGCATTTTAGTTTTATTTGCCTGCCATGATACAAAAATTCCTTAGTTTTGTTTCGATATTTATGTGTTGTTTGTATACAACAGATTGATTAAAAATAAACAATAATATTGGGTTAGTAGGCTATGATAGGCTACTCTCTAACTCTATAGCAATCACGTAATGATTAGTTAGTAATGTTATCTGCTTACTCTTCCCATCTTCATGCTGTGTCATCTTCTCAACAGATAGCAAATCATATGGCATGATTAAATCTCCAGTCCAAAATGGCAAAACATTAAGCTTTGAATGATTTTAACAGCAAATTAAGGTGAAGTAACTAAGTATGAAATAGCTTTTCCCTTTGGTTTCTTTAAATGTTGAAGTCTTTTGGGTGAATTTGCAGACAGTCTTCTGCAGAAAGAAGAGTCAATATCGTTTCACTCAACAATGATGGCTTCTCAATAGGATTTATTCTCCATAGGATTTATTCTCCATAGGATTTAAATCTGGACTCTGACCTGGCCAAAACCACCAGTAAAAAATCAGATTTCAGGCCTGGCCAATTTTTTTTTGCAGTTTTTGAGTTTATACTTCTCCTTAGTAATAAAGCTCACACATCAGAATGGCAATAAAATTACATCAAGATGCACACATTTTGGGCTGTAATTTCTACTAACGTGGATGTTTGCATCATACATGGTCATATGATTACAATCAGTTGGCTTGGAAAGTTGTAATATTGTGCGCTAAAACTAATGCTTTGATAATATGGTATTGTTGGTGTAGAGAAAGACACAGGGCAGGCCATGATTCTGCTGCGAGATGTGCTCTTTTATTAAACACCAGGCAGAAAGGCACATAACATACAGCTAAATCAGGGGGTGAGGTCATGAATAGCCAAAGGCTTCGACCTCACAGTGAACCCCCTACACACAAACAACCTGCATCCCAGACACAAATTAACACAACACACAACACATCTTTTAACTAACAGACAACAACAATTTGTCTGTGCTCGCCTCCCATGAGCCTCCTCACATGGCCCTTTGCATGGCCACACCTCCTGAGCATCTCAGAGGTGGCGCGGCAAGTAGCGGGATGCTACAATGGTGTGTAGCTAAATGTGAATATAAAGTGCTTTATACCTGTAGCTCCCATTATTATCACCCCTTTAAACAGCCTGTGAGATCTTGCTTTATTTTGTTTATCCTCCGGCTAATGCTCTACCAGTATAGAGAGGATAGAGATGAAGTTCTACCACCCAGACCAAGTAAATGATTGAAAAACTTTCAAAACATATGCCGTTTCACATTTTGGAAAATGTTAAATCTGGAGACACACTAGAAGACAAAATATAGCAAGTAGCAGCAGTCAAAATATGCCTGGAAAATCCAACAAAATCACAGAGATTTGTATCAAGACAAGACTAAATTTGTCAGAGCACCACTACGTTTTCTGAAAAACAGATAATGTGGCCTGTAATTTTCTCTTGGGAGGAGGGAGAAAAACACCAACATGGCCGATTCGGAGAGGAATAAAATCAATGAGTAGCACCTGTAAAAGAGGAAATAACTAATAACATTGCTAGCTTATCAGTAAAAAAGCAGTAAAGTTTTCTTTTGTTGTTTATAGATTAGGGTAGCTGTTAGGAGCTTGCCTATGTACATGTGTTGTGCTGGTGGGGTCCATCCTAGTCTTACTAGTTGGTCTTATATTCTCTCTCTCTCTCTTTCTCTCTCTTGCCACAGATAGCAATTTCATCCTGGCCAATGCGCAGGTATCGAAGGGCTTTCCTATTGTATACTGCTCCGATGGCTTCTGTGAGCTCACAGGCTTTGCGCGCACAGAGGTCATGCAGCAGAGCTGTGCCTGCAAGTTCTTGTATGGGCCTGAGACCAGTGAACATGTCATCCTGCATGTGGACGCCGCGCTTGAGGAGCGCAGTGAACTCAAAGAGGAGATCATGTTCTACAAAAAGAATGGTGAGGCAAAAACACACTGCATTTTTTTTTTTTTTACCAATGAGCTAAAGTACAGCAAGCTTGATTAACCAACTTTGCCAAGTTGCCAACTTTGATGAGGTGACTCGAGTGAGATTTTTAGGTTCCTGGAGGGAGACTGGAGTGAGACTTTCAGACGGCTGGAGGAACACTGGACTGAGAACTCTTGGCCCTTTTTGACAGCTCAAAAGAAAAACTCCTCTGATGCCAATGAAAAGTTATTGCATCATTCAGCCTTTATTTCCACTTAAAAAGAGCCAAAGACCTCCTCAGTCCATGACCAGTAATCAGCTGTATAACTTTTATAAAGTAACTCTGGCAAGGCACAGAACAATGCCTTTGATACAACAGCAGCATGTAAACACAGCATTTCCCTGTGCAACCGTTTCTGCAGATTATGAGAATTGAGTTGTACTTGTTTATTGTGTAGGCAACTTACTTACTGGCTAATAAGTAATAAAGTAATAAAGCTAAGTAATAAACTAAGAGTTGAATATTGTGAAAATCTAAGTCTTCCACCATCCTCCCAGACACCTACTCCTAGTGTTGCTGTCACTGGGGTGGTACCCTCAAGGGTACATCTCAGTACCTTCAGTCAAGAACATAATTGTACCAAAATTTATTGAAATTATATTTTCTAAGTTGCACTGACTCCACACCCCATCTCATTTCCAGGCTTTTTAGTTTATTGCTCTGTTTTAAAACACTAGGTTATGGAAAGGTACAAATGCATACTTTTCATCTGGTAAAGACTTATTTAAGGTGCACAATTGGACCTTAAAACTACTGTTGTACCTTTTGAGGGTACATTTACTTTGTTTGTACCTTGATAAATGAAAAATGTACCTGCACAGAACCTTTATTTCTAACAGTGTAGTGACTAAGCATTTAATTGTGAGGTCAGCAGTCCTGTGTTATATTTGAACACAGGATTGTGTCTCTGCTTATAGGTACTACAATGTCTCTGGTTATGGTACTACAATGATGTAGACTAGTTGGTGTTTATCAACTTCACTCTCTGGAACATGCTCAAAATTCAATATTCAATATTTATTTAAACAGCCAGTTATGCTTGACTACAATTATGAATGGCAGATTCTGTTTGAAAACCTATAAACTCACTAAGAGAAATATTTCAAAAACACTACCTTAAAATAGCTATCTCTCGCTTCCTCGACACAGGGATCTTTGTCCATCATTTTCATATTAGCATGATTAGATGCTTCCACAGTTTGCTCTCCATGTTTACAGCACTTCCCCTGCTCCTACTGCACTGCTCAGAAAGTGACTGAACTGATAACAGCATACTGATAACCGCTAATTGGTTAATTAATGATAAATTTATGGCAAAACGTTGTCGTGGTTGTTGATTCCGCTCTCATCTTTTATTCAGCTTTTGATGTTGGTGTCAGTTTGGATGTTGATGTTTTCAGTTACATTCAGGGATGCAGGAAGGTGTTGTAAGTTGGGAGTGCTGAAACTTTAAACAGTGTGTACATGATGTGAACATCGTGCAAAATTACTAATTTACACCAATAGAACATATCATAATATTCTATAATGTGGCAAGATTGGAAATGTAATCGGATACAGGCGTTTACACGGATATTATTCTTCTATTTAACGGATTATTTAGAGGATTACCCACCTCTTTCAATCAATACTTGAACATCCAGTGGGAGATCAACTTAGTCAAAAATTACACCTCAACTTGCTTGCGTTTTAACAACCTGCTCCTGAAGCAGCCAGCAGTTGTCGAGGAAAGCGTTTTGACTTGCTTTGATGAAGCATTAACTTTATCTTTGCGACTATTGCAGGTATTAAAAATATCTGAATAAAATATAAAAAAAAAATTTTTAGCAGTTGCAGTTAAACAATCCTAAAAACCGAAGTTGCTTCTGCTCTTTCAGCATCGCCACTTCCTGCGTCCATGATTACATGAGATCAGTTAGGACACATGGTTGTCCTTCATAGTGTGAGGTGCACTGTGGGATTCCATTAGGAGCTGAATGTTGCAGTGCAATTGGATCATGTGAACACTGGGAACCCTTTAAAAATGGCTGATTCTCAGGTTAGTTTGCTGGAACAAGGACCCCCAGTGGCACTCCAATAGGAAGATCCCAGCTTTTGCATCTTAACAGATGCAACAGTTTAACAGAGGGCTGTTTTTCTTCACTCATTTCTGTTGCTGGTAATGGTGAGACTATTTTTTCACCCGGAAACAAGAGAATTGACAAAGACCTCACCAGCTGCAAGCAATCAGATGGAAATCCCCTTGAGGTTCCCAGTAACAGGCTATGGTTGCTGGTGAAAGCATGTGCGTGCACACATACACACACACACACACACAAACACACACACATATGGTTGGGTAATGTAATGGTCTTGCTGTTCGCAGAAGTTCTATAGTGATGGATCTTTCATGCTTTTTTATGTACTTGCAGACTCTTGGGATATACTGCCCACTGATTTACTCTTAAATCATCATCATACTGTGTCCGTGTTTCTGTATGTGTATGTGTGTTGTGTCTGTGGGAGTGTGTGTTATGTTAACCTCTTTTTTCTCTCTCTTCTGTAACACAGGTTCTGTGTTCTGGTGTCTACTGGATGTTGTGCCCATTAAGAATGAGAAAGGAGATGTTGTGCTCTTCCTTGCTTCATTTAAAGACATCACGGACACCAAGGCTAAGGCCTTCCTCGAGGAAAAGAAAGAAGGTTAGTGTATGTGTGTTAGTGTATGTATGTGAAATCCAAAAGTCTGAGACCACATTGAAAATTTGGTATTATTTTTTTTTCAACCTGGAAATAAACAACAAAATGTTTTAGAATCTTGAAAAGAATGAAAAAGATATAATTATACAACAATTCAACAATAACATTTTTCAACATAAAATAGCACTTTGGGGTTTTGTGATCTATGGTACATAATATCACTAAAAGATTCATAGATTCTGGAGAAATCTCTGTATGCAAGGAACAAGGCTGAAAACCAGTATTGGATCCCTGATCTTTGGGCCCTCAGTCAGCACTGCACAGACACAATTCTGTAGTGGAAATCACTGCATGGGCTCAGAAACACTTCTGAAAAACACTGTCTGTGAACACAGTTTATTGCTGCATCCACAAATGCAAATTAAAATTCTACTATGCAGAGAATAAACCAAATATAAACAGGACCCAGAAACGCTGCTGCCTTCTCTGGGCCCAAGCTCATTTAAGATGGACTGAGGCAAAGTGGAAAAATGTTCTGTGGTCCAAAGAATCCAAATTTGAAATTCTTCTTGGAAATCATGGACATCTCATCCTCCAGGCTAAAGAGGTGAGGGACCATCTAGCTTGTTATCAGTGCACAGGTTAAAAGCCAGCATCCGTGATGGCATAGGGGTGCATTAGTGCACATGGCATGGATAACTTGCACATTTATGAAGGCACCATTAATGCTGAATGATATATACAGATTTTGGAGCAACATATGCTGCCATACAGATGACGTCTTTTTCAGGGAAAGCCTTGCTTATTTCAGCAAGACAATGTCACACTAGATTCTACACAGCATGGCTTTGTCCAAGTGCTAAACTGGCCTGCCTGCAGTCCAGACCTGTCACCCGCTGACTACATTTGGTGCACAAAATGAAAAATACAACAAGGAATAGATTGAGCTTTTAAGTAACTGAAACCCCATATCGAGCAAGAATGGGAAAAAATTTTATTTTCAAAACTACAGCAACTGGTCTCCTCATTTAGCAAATATGTTGTTAAAAAAAAGTAATGCAACACAGTAGTAAACATGCTTCTGTCCCAACTTTTTTGAAACAGGCTGCTGGCATCAAATTCAAAATGGGCATATATATTTAAAAAACATTAAAATTCCTCAGTTTCACCTTTTGATGTGTTGTGTTTGTACTATTTTCAATGAAATGTAGGGTTTAAATGATTTATACACCATTGCATTTTGTTTTTATTTACATTTTGCATTTGGGGTTGTAGTATTATGTATATAATATGACCATGTAAAATGATTATTCTCAAAGTGTCTGATTTTCACAATATTAGGGTTAGGTTTAAGATTGTGTGGAAGTTAAGGTTAGGATTATGTTTAGGTTTTGGGTGGAAGTTCATGAATATGTCTTAGGGCTGAAATTCCCTTGCCTTTTTTGAAATAAAGGAGTTTAAAGTAATATGTAAACATTGTTTTTAAACTTACTATTCACTACCCTCTCCATGTGGTGCATATATAAAAAAACAGAACCAACTCATTTATTTATATCCACCTATTCAGCCTGTATTAGTTTAGCCTTGTCTGTTAACACTGAACTTGTAAGCAGTGTTTCACCTGAGTGCTTTTTGAATGAAGCAGGATACAAGACAGCCAATCAGAACAGAACTCATTTAAATATATCAGTCTTAAAGGCACAGTAACAAAAATAGGCTATTTAATTCTGAGGGACAAAGAGAGGTAAGACAATGGTTATGTAAGATTTTTTATGACCATTTTTTTGTACATAAAACTGTACAAGTGTTAAATGTTGAAAAAAAATGTAGGACATGGGCCTTTTAAAGTATCATACATACCATACTTCTCACTACTGTATTCTTAATATTTATGTAGGCACACAGAGATTTACAGTGTAACTAATTTCTATATTATGCTATGTGAATGTCAGTGTTAAGTCATTTGTATGTGAGAAATGGTGAATGATTTCAGGGGCTGTTAGAGCAGAGAAAACACCTATTTCCCATTTGACTAGTAACCTAGATCGTTGTTGGCCTGAAGCTCTCTTGTAGAGGACGCAGTACAGGGAATCCCCACCGCCTTTCTCTCACCAGCTTTGGTCATTTATCTCTCTTGTTATTCCCTCTTCACCTCCATCCCCCATTTTGTCTTTCTCCTGTTATATTCTCTCTCTCTCTCTCTCTCTCTCTCTCTCTCTCTCTCTCTCTCTCTCTCTCTCTCTCTCTCTCTGTCTCTTTCTCTCTGACCTGCTGTGTGATAGTAAATTGGGGTTGGATTCATTAGGGTCTAATATAAGCACAGTGCTACTGGACTCCCTGCTGACTGCACTCTTTTATGGATGACTTTCTGTCTCTGCTCTCCTCCGCTGGGCCCCGCAGCTTGATATGATCTCCTTCTCTTGGTAATAGCCTTCAGCCCCAGCCCCCACCCCCCCTTAAGCCGTCTCTCCATCTATTTCCCCATCCATCCATTCTCATCTCTTCTGGACTCTTTTGGTATGTTGTGTGCCAGGGCCTCTGGCTAGGAAGGTTGGCAGCTAGTCAGATGTTTTCTGCATTAACCCTTTTTCACGGTGATGGTAATTTTACCCTGACCCCTGATGTATCTGACCAGCCAAGACATGTTTGGTAACTGAACTTTGTTTTTACAGGCAAAATTTAGGCTTCCACTACTATAAATGCTACTGCTGTTTTAGTCATGTTACATACTTTGTTCATTGTAATTGACAACAGCCTCTCATAAAGTCTCAAAATACACATAAGCCAGTTTATTTGGGATTACTTAACAACTCAATATGGTTTGAGGCAAGTGTGTGATGATTCATGCAGGTTGCCTGATGTTAATTACCTGTTAGCCGCATTAGCCTCATAGCTCCTGTGATAAAATGACAGAAGCAAACTCTGGAGAGCAAAACATGTCTTGGCTTAGCATAAAGTTGTGTAAATATGACTTAATTGGCTAAATATTTTGCAAAGAAATAGCCAAACTGTTCCTTTAAAACTCGGTTTCAGCACTTGGCTTTACCTGCCTCAGACTAAGCTTTAATATCATTTAGATTTAAGCAGGTCAGGTGTAGAAAGACTTTTTCCACAATGTTGCACCTGCTTTTGTGTAACAACAATATGGAGGTCCAATATAGGGGTCAGTACAAGTGAAAAACAGGCCATGGTGAATACAACCAGGACAAACAACTACTCCCTACCGCTTATTTGCTATTTGTATGAAAATAACAGCAAGCATGTATTTCCTTTTGCATCAAAAACCTGCAAAAAAATTACCTTCAGAATTAACAGTGGATCTTTTTTATTCAACTTGTAAAAGCATTGATGCTAGCATAGAAAAGGAGAATGGTGGTGGGGGACGTGATGTCAATATTATTCACAGCAGCTTATGTAAAGTTCCTTTTTTAATGGAAATGTCAAGTCTGCTTCTGAAAGACACTTGCGTGTTCATATTTATGTAAACCTTGTTTCAGAACTAGCTTCTTATTTGGAGAAATGATGAGATTTAAGGTGATGTTTTTTTGTGTTGGTGTTTAAATGTGTAACAGTAGATTGTCTATGTCTTGTCTGTGATTGTCTATGGTTTTGTTTACATGTATCTACACTATACACAAATAAAAACAAAGGTGCCAAACTGGGTTCCTTGGAGCGATGCCATTTTCTATTGAGTGGTTTCAGTTGAGTCAACCCACCACTTAAGGAAACAAAAGTGGTTCTTAAGGAACCAGAAGTGCTTCTCAAGGAACCAAAAGTGGTTCTTCTATGGCATTGATCCAAAGAACCCTTTTGACACCTATATTTTGATATGTACAATTTGTAGGCACTTTTATTAATAGCAATTTGGTAAGAGCAGTGGCAGATCTAGAAAATGTTTCCAAGGTGGCAAAGGGGTGGCAGGCAGTTTCTGCAGGGTGCCGGTGTAAATGTGTAAGGTGTCAGGGGGTGGTAGAGTGGTTGTATAGTTGTTCTGCAGATTGCCAAAATCGAATCCACTCTCCTCTTAAAGACAATGTGGGACGAGACATACTCGCAATCTGAGTGTGTGAGTGGGAAGGGGGAGGGGTGGTGGAGCGGTTGGAGAGAGGTTGGACTGTTGTTCTGCTGATCACTGATAGTGAAACAGCTCTGCTCTGAAAGACATAAACACCCACCCCACAGCGAGGTGGAAGCCAATGACGTGGCAGACATTTTGGGGTGGCATCACCTTTACAATCATGCATGAGTAGTATAATATAGCATTGGAAGTCTTATTGCTGTGGTAGTGGAAGTCTTACCTGAATGGGGAATCAAACATCTGTGTAAGGGGCAATGATGTTATCCACTATGCTGTACAACCACAGCATTATGCATTTTCAGGGCTGTAATTATCTTAGATTGTGCTGGTTTTCATGGTGACTTTCTATGCCCCTTTCCCAGAGCATCGTCGTGGGCAGGTTAAGGGTGGGTCCCCATTTGGCTCAACTCGGCTGCGCTCTAGCACCGTCCTCTACCACATCTCAGGACACCTGCACAACCGGCAGAAACAGAGCAAAATCAAACTCAACAAGGTGAGAGCGAGCAAGAGAGTGAGAGAAAGTACATGATATAATTAGTGAGTAAATTGATGAGCAAAGGTGCTATAAAAACATTTACACAAACAGTTACAAAAACACAATCACATGGAAGAATGTTTTCAAGAATATAATGTCAATTTTGTTGCACATGCATGTATAACGTTACTCTAATGCAGTGCTAATGCTAATAGAACTTCCATAGGTTTCCTCATGCAGTAGAAACCTTCATACAACTTAGGTTTCAAAAAATCCATAGGATGCTGATATTTTAAATGCGTCCAGAACAGAGCTAAAGAATGCAATAAAAAAATTGAGTCAGCTAGATATCAAGAATGAATTTTTCATAAAATGAACATCTACGATGCTTTGATGCCTCATATTTGAAAAGTGTTGATCTAATCTTGAGGCAGATAACAAAAATGAGCATCAGTTGAGAAATACATAAACAGAGGAGCCCCTGATCAAGTTATATGTTTTGTTGATTTTCTAAGTGAAAATAAAATAACATATCCTCTACAGAGACAACACTTTTACACATTTTAAGGCTGTTTATTTGCTAAATAACATATTGGAAAAAAAATAAAGCATATGTAGGCAGTGCAAAAGTTATGGCACATTTCATGTTATGTTTTATTTTTTTTCCAGTATGTTAAACATAGCAACTAAATTGTAACTCTGCACTACAATTTACTGAACATGCCATATTTAATAAGCTTGTTAACTTATTTTCACTTTTCACACAAAATAAGTTTACAATTATCTAGATGTATTTATATTGAATGAACATCAAAATATCCTCTGATTTCAGGTTTTGTCTAGCTTGAATATGACAAATGATTCCAATATTTTGAACAGAAGTATAGGTCACGGGATCATACAATAACAATATGCCTGTAAACATATGATCCCACAGCTTCTCCATCTTTGTCTTCTCCCTTGTTTCCTTGTCATGCTAACAGAATGTGTTTGGAGACACGCCAGCCTTGCCTGAGTATAAAGTTGCAGATGCCAAGAAGTCAAAGTTCATCCTCCTTCACTTTAGTACGTTCAAGGCCGGCTGGGATTGGCTAATTCTGCTGGCCACCTTCTATGTAGCTGTGACTGTGCCGTACAATGTGTGTTTTATTGGAGATGATGACCTGACGCGCAGCACCACGGTCAGCGACATTGCTGTGGAGATCCTCTTCATCATTGGTAAGAGAGTTCAGTCTTAAAACGTGACCTCATCTATGTTTCTTTTATAGTTCTCACACTGCTTCGATTTTTATTCAAAACCTCAGAGGTAGTGTTGTAGTCAAGACCACTGGATCCGAGTCCAAGTCAAGACCAAGACATTTAGTAGTTTAGTCCTAGTCAAGACCAAGATCAGGAATGGCCGAGACTAAGACAAGACAAGATTAAGATTTTTTTCAGAACAAAAAAAATAAAATGGAATTCATTTGTAGTTAATTGTACATTCAGTATAATCACACAACATATATACTAATGCATGACATTAAACTATATTTTATTATATATTTTGTAAAATATAACATTAAATATATAGCCTAAAACATTACTACATTGTCTCTTATGTATTACAGTAACAATGACTGTGGTAGGGAGAAGTTAATATTACATGGCCACATAAAATAGTGAAAAAGCTAAAAATGCAGCAGAAAATAGTCAAAGATTAAGTACAACTAATGATGTTCTATCGACAGATTTGTAAACAATGTAATATGAACAGTAAACCTCAGCCCTCAGTAACATTATTATTCTTTTGATGCTAGTAACTTTTCTGATAAAGTGTTCCACGATAAATGGTGCCTGAGTGCCTCAGTGGCCTGAGGCACCAGACTGTAACTGCTGCACCATTTAAGATGAAATGGGAAAATTTGAACAAGAAGCTGATTTCAGCTTTGTGTGATTTAGGTTATAAAAATATCCTACGTATAGTTTATGAAGAGCTCTACCTATAAATATGTTCTATGGTAGGACATTTCGACAAGGCACACAATTTGTCAGAACACCAGTTAGATCTAAGTGCTAAACTGTATAAATAAGCTACAACACTACTCTGAGGAGACTGATTTACCACGTGAGCACCTCAAATAGCCAGATAAGCTGTTTTTGTGTATTTGTTGAGCTAGATTTTGAATTGACGATGACTGGGATGAGCAATATCTTTATATCCAATCTTTATATACATCCAATCACAAGTCCCATCATTTTTCCCATCATTGTGCTCTACAGTCACGAATAAAACGCAATAATAATGCTAACCAAGTCAATATTGTAAATTAAAGTCTGATGATGAAATAACAACAGGCACCTTACAGTCCAGTGTGACAGGTTTGAGAGCCATCTTTTGACGTTCTCTTAATTTTTTCACCAGATCCTTATTAGTATAGTCATATGCCAAGGTTTGTGCACTCCATGTCAAACAATGTGTTTTATTAATTTTCTAAGTAAAAAAATTAACACATCTTCCACAGAGAACACACTTCTGCACATTTTAATACACAATTACTATTTATTTGCTGAATCTAACATATTGGGGAATTTAACATATGAAAATAAAAAAAAATGTGGTTGTATTTATATTTTGGTTATATAATAACTAATATATAAAAAAAAATGTGCACTAAAATTTGTAGTAAAACAGCACATTTATGTTTGTTTACTATAGTGGATGTTTTACTCAGAAAATCAACAAAACATAATTTAAACGAGGATATTCAAACTTTTGTATATGACTGCACAAGGGACAATGTTACAGTATTGTGTGTACATGGATGTGACTCTAAAGCACTAAATTTTGAACTAGATTTTGAGTCTGTCCACCTTTCCACCTTTTCTTAAAGACAAACACAGAATGGATCCAGAAACTCTCATTCACACACACAAAAAAAGATGTTCTCAGCAGTTCCATGTTTTGCAGTGGAGATTGTAGTTTTGATTCAGCTTTTGTGTTTTTGAAAACTGTCATTTTTACTTTTATTACAGTTAACAAAAATTTTTTTTCACTGCTAGTTTTTGTTTTAGTAATAGCTTTAGTTAACTATTATGACCCTGGTACAGGGTGGACATGCATGTGCTGTAAGGCCTCTGGATGCTAATTTTTAACAGGGCTGAGGGGCCATCACTAAATTCTTACAATGGATTACTGGCATGGTGCACAGTTCCACAGGGTTAACTACACTGCATAGATATAACATTAGTAGCTGTCATTTTGAAGTCTGAATTTTGTCCATTTTTAAAGCTCTATGACCCTCGGGCTGTAGTTAAAAGCACATTACTTTCCATCTCATTAATGCTTTTCACATAATGACTACACAGTTGCTGATTTGAACTCCTCTCAGAGGGCTCTGGCTCTGCATGACAGACTGTAGATCATCCAGATTGTGCTTGGAAGAGAGTGCTGGGGCTGAACCTGCTGACTCTGTGCTATTTCTGAATCATGGCAGACATCGTGCTCAGCTTCCGCACCACATACGTGAGCAAGTCGGGCCAGGTGATCTTCAACGCGCGGCAAATTTGCATCCACTACCTGACCACCTGGTTTATCATAGACCTGGTGGCCGCGCTGCCCTTCGACCTCCTCTACACCTTCAAAGTCAGCGTGGTGAGTGATGACAACAGTGGTTCATGTTTATTGAACATTTAGAGGTCACACTTAGCATTGAAGTAGAGGTACAGACTGTAAACGTTCAATTGATGTAAGCATGAGAGTAATTGTTTGTAAGCATGAGAGAGAATATTTTGTTACGATCTGAATTTGATAAAAAGTTAGGGTTTTTGTCCTTGTTTGACATGACACACAAATGTCAAATAGTTGGAAGTGAAGATTCAAACCTTTTAATACAGAATGTAATTCAAATGCAACACAGAATAAGTCTTAACTTCTAATAGTTCTCTCTTAATCTTAATATTCAGTAACTGCTAAGAATTACTTACTAACTACAAAGAAATTAGTATATAAGTTATATTGTTATCAAAGAGAGGAATTAACCCCCTAATAATCCCAGACTTATTACACCCTAATTCTTATTATTCAGTAATTATATGAACCACAATGCAAACTGGCTGGGTAATTCTGAAGTTATAGAAGTACCTAATATAAATGTGGAACAGTAAGCAGGTTCTGGCCATTTAAGGGGTTAAAGTGTTGTTTCACATGTATAGGCACTTGCAGTTTAAGAATTTTTGAGAGGAAAATGTAAAAATAACCTGATGCAGGAATGTATCTAATCACCACAAACCAAAAGAGCCCTTTGTTGAGTGTAAAATATGCTCTGCTAAACTAATACTAGTTGTCCTGAGTCGAGACATGATTTGGGAATGCCAAAAGTCCCTTTACTACTATGAGTTATAACAGCAGAGGAATGTGAAGTGTCATGCTGGCTGAAGTGTGTTGTGGGGTTAAAAGGGTCACTATCCCTCTGGATGTTACTTTATAGCCTTGAAAAAGTTTAGTAGCACAAAGCAGTGTGAAAGTACTGCTGTTTACATGTATTGGGTGCAAAGGCATAAAAGTTTAAACTTTCTGTAGTTGGGGTGGTGAGATTATATTGGCCAAGAAACACAATACGTTACCACACTAATCACTCTGTTCTTGACATAAACATTAATGGCTAAAGAAATTACAAATAGATTGTGTGCGTCTGAAGTCCAATAAAATATTTAGCCAAGGGAAAATGTATGTATGAGCGACTGGTTAGATCTCTTTTGGAAAGTGTTTAAAGACTGTTGTGTACCTGTGGCTGCATATTTTCTGTGTGTGTTAGCTTAGTTGATGGGATTTTCTAAAGCTCTATTTTTACTAGGGGCATTTCACCTACATATTTGTACTAGTAGCAGGGGCACTGTTTAGAATTTGTGGTTCCCTGAAAACTTTATGTGTGGGCCTCTTGCTTTAGCTAATTTCCCCAATCAGAACCTGTCACATGATGAAAACATGCTGAAATCTTCACAACCCTTCTCTTTATTTGTTATGGCTTCATAATTCCAACTCTTACTTTGCAGCATGCTGTGAATGTGAATATAAGCTGATGTATTCAAGATGTTGTATTCAAAAGGCCTGAAATTTTGAAATGCTTCTCAAAAAGCATTGCATCTACATTGTCAAAGTAAAATAATTAAATATTACATATCTGTGGGTGTCAAAAGTTTGTGAACTTTTAGGATTAGCAGATAATTTGAAGGTGAAATTAGAGTCAGGTGTTTTCAATCAATGGGATGACATTGCTGTCTGTCTGCAGTTTGCTGAAGATCATATGGACAAGCCAAAAGACTATTGGAACAATGTTTTATGGATGGATGAGACCAAAATAGATCTTTTTGGTTTAAATGAGAAGTATTATGTTTGGAGAAAGACAAACAGCATTTCAGCATAAAAACCTTATCCCATCTGTGAAACACAGTGGTGGTAGTGTCATGGTTTGGGTTTATTTTGCTGCATCTGGGCCAGGACTGTAACGTGAGACCAGAAAGCAGATGCTTGCGGTTTGAAAACACAAGTGAAGCTTTACTTGTAGAATCAGGGATGTCTAGCATAGTCAGAAAACCGGCATGGGTCAGTTCCAGTAAACACAGCAGAATAAGAATGGCGACCATAACAAACAAGGGCAAATCCGATCCACAAAACAAGCGATGGGTCAAAACCATGAATCCAACAAACCAGGCAGAAGTACAAAAGGGCAAATCCAAAAAAACAGAGTCAAAGAAAAAACAGGCAGAAGGTCAATAACATGATAAACACGAGTAAAGAAAACGCTCAGTAGTTTCACAGGGAAAGCAATACCTTGCAACTAGTCTTAGCTAAAGCCCGGGCTTATATACTAATCTAATAAGTCATATGACAAATACACAGCGGAAGATAATTAGTACTCAGGTGAACTTGAACGGTGATAGGACGAGGACCGATCCGGAGTCATGTGACTTCGCTGAGGAGTCTGGGAAATGGAGTTTGAGTCTGAATGCAAGAGCAAGGGAAATAGCTCCACCTCTTGATTCCCCAGTGGATTCTGGGGAATGCAGTTCTTGACTGACTGAGGACTGGCAGAATGCGTGACAAGGACAGCTTGCCATCATTGATGGAACAATTATACCAGCAATTTCTAAAGGAAAACGCCAAGACATCTGTCCAAGTGCTAAAACTCAAGAGAACGTGGGTCATGCAGCAAGGCAACCCTAAGCACAAGTCGTTCTACCAAAGAATGATTAAAGAAGAATAAAGTTAATGTTTTGGAATGGCTAAGTCCTTAATCCTATAGAAATGTTGTGGAAGGACCTGAAGCAAGCAGTTCATGGGAGGAAACCCACCAACATAACAGAGTTAAAGCTGTTTTGTACAGAGTAATGGGCTAAATTCCACCAAGCCCATGTGCAGGACTAATCAACAGTTACCAGAGATGTTTAGTTGCAGTTATTGCTGCACAAGTGGGTCACACCAGATACTGAAAGCTAAGGTTCACATACTTGCCACTCACAGATATGTGATATCATTCTTCTTCCAGAGCTAAACCACTGAACTTTTACATGGGAGGGAAAGGTAACCACTGGAGAGGTGACAGAATGGAAGAAGCATTGCTGCTCTTTATCTAAACTAGTCTTTAATTATTACTTAATGAATAAAACATTTTAATGGAGAATCTTTTATTAAGCCCAAAAGTCACATGAAAAAAAGGTACGATCTTCGTGGTCCCGTCTTTTGAAAACCCTTAGAATAATCCTAATCTTGTATCTCCTTACGTTGCCTGTGACTAGAGGCACATTATCTCCATATTTAGGACATCATTGCAATAATTCTTAGCCCTAAAAAGTCTTGAGTTATTGCTTTTTGCAGTGCTATTTCAGCGTTATTATAATAAATAATGTAGCTTACAACTTTTGCCAAACTTCCTGTATATGGGATCATAAGAAAATGCAAACGTTACTGAAACGTAAAAAAAAAACTAAAAGCAACCTTTTTATGGCATTCCTTGTTAGTTCTGATAAAACTACAGGAGAATGTTGTGTTTTTAACTTCGTAGAATGCTTCAAGAACAGCGCTGACTTCACTGTTAAAAATAAGTCACTCAAAATTATAAAGTAACTGATTACACAGCTTTCCTTGAATTAACTTAACTTGAGGACACCAAAGTTCACCCAACTCAAAATTTGGATTACACAGCTTTTTTTTAGTTAATTTGAGGACACCAACCCAAACTTCTTAGTTTAGTCAAAATGTCTCTTAACCCCTTAAATGGCCAGGGCCCATCAGCAGACCCAAAGTTTTATTACACACCTTTAGAACCTAAGAACGGCTCAAACAGTTTGCAATGAAGACCCTGTACACTGTTAAAAAACTCAAAATGATATAGTAACTGATCACATGGCTTTTCCTAAGTTGACTCAACTTGAGGACACAAGAATTCACACAACTCAAACTTAGTTGAGTCAAAAATTCTCTTAATGTTTTACTTCTGCATTTCTGTTAATAAAAAGAACTTGTTTTTTATACTCAACTTCCCCACTAGCCAGGACTCCTTCTATCACACAACGCTGCTTGACATTTTTCCTCTTGGGTACATACTTTTATGGATGGCTGTGGGATTGCTGGGGCTCAAACACAACCTCCTGTTGCGGTGACAGCTTAGTCCACTGCACCACTCAGGAACACATGAACCAACTCAGATTTTGTGTCTACAAATGTTTGTTACAAAGGAGACAATATTTGTTGTTTTAACTTTGAAGCATGTTGTAGTCTCATGTGGTGCCACTGTCTAATAATTCATCCCAACATCAGGCGATTGTGAGTTTGAATCCCAGCAATACCCTAGCTGTCCATATCCAGAAGCCCAAAAGGAAAATGTGCGATAGAGTGTCAGCTAGTGGAGAAAAAAAACACCAAAAAATTCTGTTTTGTTTATTTAACTAACATGCACACCTAGAAACAGTAGCTGGGAGAATTTTTGACTCAACTAAGAAGTTTGAGTTGGGTGAACTCTGGTGTCCTCAAGTTGAGTCAACTCAAGAAAAGCCATTAAATCAGTTACTATATCATTTTAATTTGAGCAGACTTCTCATTTTTTACAGTGTAGTTGAATAATAAGCCTTAGTATGTAATAAGCCTAGAACATTTAAGCGGTTAATTGTTATAGCTCTGCTTCTCAGTTAGATAAATAATATAGCACTTGTTTTTTTGGTTTTACTCAACTTCCCCACTAGCTGGGACTCTTTCCATCAGACAATGCCATCAAGTAATTTGTCCTCTTAGGTACACACTTGTGGATCGCTACAGCATTGTTGAGGTTGAAACTCACAATCTCCTGTTGGGGTGCTGTTTTAGTCTGTAGCACCGCTCAGGAGCACCTGATGCCAGCCAGATTTTGTGTTTGCAAATGCTTAAAAGCACTGAGGAAAATATTTGTTATTTTAGCTTTGAAAAGCGGCATGGTCACATGTGGCGCAACTGTCTAATCACTTATTCCAACATCAAGAGATTGTGAGTTTGAAGCCCAGCAAAGCCACAGCTGTCCACATCTGGAAGCCCACGAGGTGTGATGGGAATAGTTACAGCTAATGTGAAAATGCAAATTCTATAGTGTTTACCAAACTGAGATGCAGAACTAAAAACATAAG